GGGGGGGGTTGGGGCAACAACTACAGTATACCATTTTCACTGTCAAATTCTGGAATATTTTTTCGAGTTCTTCGTGTCGTTCTCTCTGGGCGGAAGCCATTTTTCCATCTCAAATGACCTTGTTCGTTTGCAGCAGAGCACGGCGAAGCTCGGTGGTGATTCCTTGCAACTGAACTGGCTTTCGAATGAGACCGTTCATGCCAGTCTGAACACATTTTTCCCACAAGTCTTCACCTGCGCTTGCAGTTAATGCAATGATCACTGGTTTGTAATTCTGGCTTCGAAACTTTCGGATCCTCGACGTAACTTCGAAACCATCTATTTCTGGCATGTAAAGATCCAAGAGGACCACTTGGATTGAGGCACTGGCAGTTGCCATGGCTGTTAGACATTCATATCCAGAAGAAACAGCAGTCACGTTGCAGCCCAACTTCTCGAGCAGTTTTCGTGTCACAGCTCTGTTCATGTCGTCAGCATCAGCTAAAAGAACTTGCAAGCCTCTGAAGATGGAGTTGGAGTGTGGATGTTCATATGATTCTCCAGACTCTGGTATGGCCACTGCTATCGAGGGTCGGAGTTGAAAACGAAGAACGAGTGCCATGCTTCGTGTAAAGCCTTGAGGATTTGGGATTACCCATATATTCCCTTGCATCAACTGCCAGTGATAAGACCATCAACAACCAAGGAAATATAAGAACTTGAACCAAAACTTGCACAAAACTTCTAATTGGAATAGGAAAAGTTGGTAAATATGAGATATCCATATAAAAGAACTCGAACCTAAACATATCTCTCACCTTAACGAGCTTCTTGCAGATGGTAAAGCTCAAGCGTTCCTCGGCTCCGTCCCCGCTAGCGTATCTCCAATCCCCAGATACCACGTTAGGAATAGAGCCGCCCTCGGATTGAGAGTTACTCTTGTTTATCCCAATCTCAAATCTGATATATGCATCCCCATCAGAAGAGTTTTGTCTCCAGTTACCCCATCTTTGGTCGTTCCTTCCCTGACTTCCGCTCTCAGCGACAACCCGAAACAAAGCATATCCTCCTCCCTGGTTGATGTCATTTAACAGGCTCCCTACCATATGTAAAATCACCTGAAAAACCCTTCTCTCGTCGCCCATGACGTGATCGGGCAGAGATCTCTGAACCTCGAACGCAAAACCAAAGCCCTTATAAGTACACAAGCACTTGGCAAGACAACCTGCCTCCTTTATCATAGAATGTAACCTGAAAGATCTCATCTCCAATTCCAAAGGAAATCTTGCACTATCCTTAATCGAATCGTCCATAACATCATCTATCAATGTCGAAACAACATTACCAGTCCTCGCCATTGCATCGAGGATAATTCGTTGGTCGTCATTAACATTCTCATTCTGCAGCATCGAAAGCAAACCCAAGATGGAGTGCATAGGTCTCCTCATACCATCACTCATTACCATCTGAAAGGATTGCCTAGCTTGGCTTGCCATCATAGCCTTCATCTTAGCCTGCTGCAGCCATTACCATCTGAAAGGATTGCCTAGCTTGGCTTGCCATCATAGCCTTCATCTTAGCCTGCTGCAGCGCTCGGTTTTGTTCGGCCAGTTTCTCCCTCATGAGCTGGGACTCTTCGAGAAGGGCGGCATGGGAGAGAGCTACAGCCACCTGGTCCGCAACAACCTTAATTATCTCAAGTTCCTGGTTGTTCCAAGAGGGAGAGAGCTACAGCCACCTGGTCCGCAACAACCTTAATTATCTCAAGTTCCTGGTTGTTCCAAGATCTAGGCTGTCCACCAGGGAGAACCAAAACCAAAATTGCATAGTAAGTCGGAACAATCTCAGGAGTTCCTCCTTTAAAATTTGAAACACGTAGCATCGGCATTCTAATCGCTGCTGCAGGTCCCCTTTGATCAGACTCGCCACAGTTAGCAACAACAAGAGCTGAATTTGGTTCAAGAATGTTAACCCCATCGCTACCCTTGATTCTAATGACATCGGAATCACTAATCGGTATAGAGACATTATAACCATCTGAGAAGCTCCTATCCTTCAACTCATGAGTCAAATTCATAACTGTCTTGCTCTCATTAGGCATCCAAACTGCACAGTAATGCAAACCCAAAGTTTGAGAAAGCTCATACATGGTCGTGTAAAGTATGGTATGTCGATCAAGCGACTTGCGGATCTCTTGAGTAAGCATCCGAACGTGTAAGCCAGCTTCGTTCTGTCTCATTATCATCCCAACTTCGATGCCAAGATCCCATGTCTTCTTCTTCAACATAAACTCCCTCACCTTCACCTTGAGAAGCAAAGGAATGAGAGTGATGAGGGTAATAGCAGTAGCACAAGAAACCAGAGCTGTGAGGATTTTGAAGACAGTGAGAGCTAGCATTAACTGGAAGGAGTGAGGGCCATAAGTCCAGCCATTGAGCAAATGGGTCAAACCACATAGAACAATGAAGGAAATGAACTGAAACAGAACCCATTTAAAGGGTACATTGGAGCAACTAACGAAGTAAAGAAGTTCAATAGGGATGGAGAAGTAAGCCACAGCAATCAAGAAATCACTCACACGCTGACACTCCAAAATGCTCTCGATGCTCCATAAACTACCCTCATCGTCGCAATTACATCGCGGAAATCCGTTGTCGGTAGCAGAAACAGATACCAATAATAACAAAATCAGAAACCCAGATGGCAATGCCTTGAACATTGCATCCAAAACCCAAGTTTCTTCAATCCATTTAAGCCCAAAATTGGAGACACTCAAACCCCAATGGCCGCCTCAACTATAACAAGAACACACGCATCAGCACAGAGAAAGCATATCAACCCGATTCAAACTTCGCCGATCAAAAATCAACAGCACCATCAAGAAATTGAAAACTAAACCAAACCAACCCCGCTAGGATCAAAGAAGCAAAATCGATTAGAACGCAAAATAGAGAAAGAAGAACACCAAACCTGAAGAGGGAAAACCAACAAGTCGCCAATACATCAGATTCCATTCACATCCAGCTCCAGATCTTAGCATTCCACCATATGCAAAGACCTCAAACGCTTCACAATCCGATGTCCCTCATCCATTAATCAAATCCATTCCGCGTTTCGCCCATTTAAACACAAACCCACCAAACAGAAACCCAAATCAATCAATCAATCCCAGAACACCTCTTCTTCCTCAGAGCAAGAACAGGGAAAAAAAAAAACAAAACAAAACAAGAAATCCTCCCGGAATAAGATTGAGAACCAAAAACAAAAACAGGATTCGAATCGAAACTCAGCAGTAAGAAGGCGATTGAAGAATAAAAACAAGAAGAGAGCAAGAAAATCGGAGAGAATCGAAACCAGATCTTCTTTGGTGGACAGAGGTGCGCTCTAATCCTTATAGGTAACTACACAATCCATACTCGAAAAAAGAGGGGGGGAAACAAACAAGAAAGGAAGAGGAAAAAATCAAAAACTAACGAGAAGAAAGAGGGCTACACTCTTCTCTTTGTGATTCGCGAACTGGTTCTATGATGCCCTTTCTCTCTCCCTGCCCTTGAAAATTCAAACACAAGAGTAAACACGTTTTTGTAGAGAGAGAAGTGAAGAACATTGGAGAAGAACGCAGACTGCTTGCGCCGTTGTTTCGGAAACGAGCAGGAAAAATAATTTATTTATTTATTTTTATTTTTAAAAAAAAAGGAAAGAGAGAGAAGGAGTGGAGCCCACAGGCTCTTACATGAAGAGAACTTAGACGCTCTTCTGCTTATAAACGTCTTTCTCACTCCCCCAAAATACTTTTGTTTTATCTCTCTCTCTCTCCTATTTTTCCCTTAATCTACTTCCTATTTGCCACGTGGCCTACTCTCTTTCACTCCCACCACCACTCTTACTCTTCGCGCGTGTTCTCCACCTTCTTCTCCTTCCTTTCCCATTTTACTACACTTTACTACCTTACCCTGCCTGCCACTTGTGATTTTTGGCATTTTTTAAAAATCTAATAATATGTATATTGAAATACTATGTTTAATTATTAAAAAATTGTTAAAAAAATAAAAATGAATAATTGAAAGAAGGAAATATAAGGATAAGTAGGTGCAAATAAAGTAGGACTTTTAGTGGTTGGTAATGTTTAATGCTTTAAAATATTGGAGTCTACAATGGTCCAAGTCATGAATAGCTAATGAATCCAAATCCAAAGAATATATGCTGGATCCTTTCCTTATTTCTTTCTTTATTTATATACATATATAGTTTTGAATAATTCTGCCTATAAATACCATTTTCATATATAACTTTCATTATTTCATTATCTACTTTTTATTTATATTTCCAAAATTAAAATGGAATTCCAAACTTAATCCATTCGGGTTCAATCCCACTTTCAAATTATTCAACCCCAAATCAAAAATTTTAAAATATAATAACACGCTTAAGAAAATCCTTAATTACCTTCGTAGCAATATGTAAGTATAACTTAACTATTTAACATGTTATCACTTATAAAATAGTAAAATGAACCTAACCCAGATTATAAAAATTGGAAATAGGTTAAATTTTTTTAAAATAAAAAATTTGTTTGGTCGAATCCACTAACTAAAAAATGGGGTTACAACCCATGCCGGGAGGGCGAGAACTAGAAGAATAGTTATTAACCTCATATTTATTGCAAATAAGATAGTATAATTAAAAAGTAGCGAGAACTAGAAGAATAGTTATTAACCTCATATTTATTGCAAATAAGATAGTATAATTAAAAAGTATGATATTTTGGAGTGGTACAATTCTATCCACGTGATCCACGCGTTTCACGGCGAGCATAGCGAGAGGGAAAGCGCGCGTTTGGGAAGGAATTGAAAATGGTTGGATTTTGTATTTTGTATTTTATATTGAGAGGGAAAGCGCGCGTTTGGGAAGGAATTGAAAATGGTTGGATTTTGTATTTTGTATTTTATATTTTTGTATTTTTGTATTTTGTTGGCTGGCATTTAATGCAAATACAGAGCAAAAGACCTGAAGAAATAAAAATAAAAAATAAAAAATAAAAAATAAATGAGGGATGGGTCACGCGAGGTAAAGGGAAGTGAAATTGAAGATCCAAACCCAATTCTTTGTATACTAAAAATGGAAGCATCCAAATCTTTATATCCGGCGTTTTTTCTTCAACGGGTAGTGGCAGCCGATGCCGATCCCTTTCCCGCAATCCCTTTCTTTTCTTTTTTTCCTTTTTATTTTAATTTTTAATTCCCCCCTCCTCTGACAATATTATTTAATGTACCTCTCTCAATTTACCATTTACTCCTTCCCTCCATCCCTCGTTTCAACTCTTCCAAAGGGTTGTTTTGGTAAATATACATAATATTAGTTTTATTTTTTTTTTTGGTTTTTTTTAGCCAATTGAATTATTATATGTATGATGAGATATGCTTCTCTTAAATTAAGTTCTTTAATATATGATTGCTACATTATGTGTCTGGTATATATAGACGCATCTCATAATTATAATAACTCTTTTCATTTTATCCATATGTTGTCTATCATCTTTCCATAAATTGTATCGTAGATTCATGAACTTTTCTCTGTAATTTTAATTCAGTTTCGTTTAATTTAGGATTAAGGCTCGATATCATCTCGCCCTTTAATTTCCTCACAAATAATGACTGTTTAATATCGAGATTATCATCGCTAACTTTGTTGTATAGTCATTATCGAGGGGAACATTGCTTTGGTTGTGCAAAGGACGAGCACTTCGCTAACTTTGTTGTATAGTCATTATCGAGGGGAACATTGCTTTGGTTGTGCAAAGGACGAGCACTCGACTTGGGTACAATTGCAGTTAAATCCAATTCTTAGTAGTTAGATTATGACTCTATTTGCCTCGCATGCGTGTTGGATTAAAATTTATATTAAATTATATTTTTCATAAAAGAAACAAAAATTGCATCTCGCATGCGTGTTGGATTAAAATTTATATTAAATTATATTTTTCATAAAAGAAACAAAAATTGCATCATAAATGAATAATAACGTCTCTCTCTTTCCACGTGTTCTTACTCGGCAAGTCTCTGTTCTCCTGAGTTTGAATAGTTTTCTAACGTGCAATTGAATTTATTAAAATATTAAGAAAAATAAATTAAATTTTAATTTGTATAAATTTAAAAGTTAAAACTTCTTTGTTTATAGCTGAATAAAATTTCACAAACAATTTTAATTTGTATAAATTTAAAAGTTAAAACTTCTTTGTTTATAGCTGAATAAAATTTCACAAACAGATAAAATCTCAATATTCAATATAACGAAAATTAAAATTTTATTTTGTATTTATTAAAATAAAACGAATAATATTTAATTATAAATTAGCTATAACAAACAAATTTTTACAATTTTAAATTAATTATCCTAAAAAAACAAAATATTCATTTTAACTTATTTACATCAAAACACGTAGATATATGTTTTTTATTTTATTTTAATTCATTCGACTAAAATAACCTACATAATATATTTATATACTTAATTCAATCAAATTAAAGTTAAAATTAAAATTATATATATACAAATTTTGCACTCTTTGTAATTATGTATTTATTAGCTTTATGGATGGATATAAATAAACTCAAGCTTGTAAGACCCCACTAATTGTAAATTTTATAGATTTTTTAAAATTAAAATTAAAATATATATATATATATATATATATATATGTATATGTATATGGCACGAGAAATTCAAATCTCGATTTTTAATCATTTGACAATGTATGTGTTTAATAACTAATTACATATCATACTCTTATATAAGAAATGTGGGATCTCACAATTCATCTCTTTGGGACCTAATTTCCTGGCTGAGATATCGTCCAGTGTTTGGCTTTGATATCATTTGTAACGGTATAAGCCCATCGCTAGTAAATATTATTTGTTTTGGCTCGTGAATGTAAATTAAATAGATTTAAAAGAGGTGGTTTGTGTGGGATGATGAAAGTCCCACATCGGCTAATTTAGGAAATGATCATAGGTTTATAAATGAGGAATACCAACTCCTGAGGTCTTTTAGGAAGCCCAAAGTAAAGCCACGAGAGCTTATGCTCAAAGTGGACAATATCATACCAAGAGTCGTGTTCGTCTAACAATTTGATACTTAGAATAGTGACACGTGGCAGTGAGAAATGCAAAAATAAATTGAAACTCTTCCCATTAATTCCCTTAGTGGAGAGAGTTGGTGGGGAATATGGATGAGTTTGGTCTAAAATTTCGACCCAATTTAACGTTCTTTGTTATTCAAAATTTAGACATAAAATAATGATTATTTAATGGCATCACTCTTTGGTATCCAATTGCCTCTTTGACTAAATTTGTTGTACTTTGAAGTCATAATCTTTATGTCTCAAAATTAAGCATTTAATAAAACTTAGATATTGAATTAATATTTACCCACAAAAAATTATATTCTAAGTTGATATTGTTAGACGAACACGACTCTCCACAATGGTATGATATTGTCTACTTGTGGGACTTTCATCATCCAACACCTCCCCTCGAACAAAACACGCCTCCCCTTAATTGAGGCTCGACTCCTTTGGAGTCTTAGTCATTTTTGACTGCCTTCGTACCTTCGAGGAGGCTTGACTCCTTTTGGAGTCCTTTGTTCGACATTTAAGGATTTGTCAATCTATTGACACGGCTAAGTTTAGGGCATGACTCTGATACCATATTAGACGAACACGACTCTCCACAATGGTATGATATTGTCCACTTTGAGCATAAGCTCTCATGGCTTTGCTTTGGCTTCCCAAAAGGCCTCATACCAATGAAGAGTGTATTCTTAGATTATAAACCCATGACCATTCCCTAAATTAACTGATGTGGAACTTTCATCATCCAACAGATATTATTAATATGTGATTCACAGTTAGATAAATTAACAATCATACGAAGTTACTATTCAACATTATAATCTAATTTAATTACTCGTTAATATGAAATATAATTACTTAATAATATTTGTGGTACTGGTGTACATTCAACCCGATAACGCGAATCAAACCAATCCGAACTATAAGGGTTGAGTTGTGTTGGATTAGCATTTCAGGTAGGTTGGGTTAATTTTTTTGAACCCGAATTGAATCGGTTCAGTTTTGTGGTAATAAAATTTAAAACTCAATCCAACCCTCTACTTTTGAGTTGTCAAGTTGTCTTTTTATTATTAATATTATTTAAAAAAACCATACTTATTTATAACACTCATTATATTACACATTAAAAATTTATAAATATTAAATATTCATAAGTCACGTACAAATAGTAAATATTGTTAATTTTCATTATAATTTTAAAAATAGGTTTGAATTATAATCCGAACTCAATTTATATTATTATTAAAGCATTTCATTATTTTTCTTTTTATTCCATCCGGAAACTTTTACATGCTCTATTATGTTTTAGAAGACCTACGCTCCATAGAAACTATTTATTGACTTGTTGACCCTGACACAAGCTTTGAATTTTAAGTATCGAGAATAGCATCTCATTGATGGCTCGAACACATTTAGAAGTAGACTTTCTTCACCCTCCACTTAAGATGCGTATGAAAGGTCCAAAGTTGATCCTAACGAACAATGAATCTTCTTCGTAACGTGTTTCTGTCAAGATACAAGTGTGAGGACCACAAATATCTTTACAAACGAATCTATAACACCGAGCGTAAACTCGGTCACAGGGAGTTTCGAAAGAAGTGAATATGGGCAACTTTCACTATCTACCAATGTGTAGAGGGGGTGGAGGAATAAAGAAAAAAGTGGTGGGTGTCTGCAAAAATGCACATGCAAATGCAACATCCCATGTGTTGGAAATAAGAGGGTCCATTTGGGAAAGCATTGAAATGTGACCATCTTCATCATGCAGCCATAGCCGCCGCTGCCGCCGCCGCCGCCACCACCACCAAGTAGCTTTCCCGTCCACGAAAATGGTGGGTCGAAGTTTGGGCCATGAGGAGAACGTAAATCAATGGGCCCAGACTGGCCCACATTCTTTTCGATGTCAAATATCATCATTGTTAGAGCCCATTAGGGCCCATTGGAGACATTTTAACCAAATAAATAAATAAATAAAGGGAGAGGGGAGAGGGGAGAGGGTAAACGACAGAACAGAGTTGTGTTCTTTAATTGCATGGGGATCACGTGAGTGTCACTGTCCCAAGTGATATTGGATAAGAAAAAAAAATAGATAAAATAAAATAAAATTTCTATACGTGGGGTTTATGCACGCAGTTGCAGACCAAAAAAAAGGAGGGCATTTATGAGAATATACAAATTCCTATCAAATTTTATCTATTTTGAGCGGGAAATCTCCTTTTAAAATAAGATAAAAACTCAGAGAAATAATTTCTGAAATCAATACGAGGTAACAAAAATGTCCAACCCTTTTAATTTAATTTAAATTAAATTACTCATTTACCCTCCAACTTTCTCATTTTTACTAAACATTAAATAACTTCTACCTTTTAAACTACATGCTTGTAAATTACAAATTTTTCCAATTGCTAATTGAGTTTATATGTAAGAAATATATCGGGTTTTTGAAAAAGTCAAAAGTACAGTCATAAGAGTTTATATTCAAAGTGGATAATATGATTGTAGAGAGTAGTGATTCCTAACCCAACCTAATTGGAGCTGAGAAAAAAAGACCCATAAAGAATCGAACACATTTGAAGCCCGACATTTGGAGATTCATATGATTTCACAGGGAGTTAAATGTTGCATTGAGAAATGAGAAGTGCAAAAGAACAGGGGAGGGGACAGAATTTAGTACTAATAATAATGCTGAATATTCTGTTTTGAATAGCTAGGTCTGAGAAAGATAACAAAATTACATTTCAGCAATTACTCTTTATTATCCGTCGCTGTACACAAAAACATGAAAAATCAGCGATATTCATGCCCTAATCGCAGCTCCAAATCAACCTCTTCATTTTTCCACACACCCCTGTTTTGATCAACTTGGAGGCTAAGATTTGCCCCCAGCAGCAGCTCTTCACTCACACTCTCCGATCTCTGTTGGTGAATCGGGAAGTTCGACGCCATGGCCGCCGCCGTCGTGTCGAAATACATCCGGTAAGAGGGTGGTAGAGGGGCAGTGGGTTGGGTTGACAGATGAGGGAAAATTTGGTGGTTAGAATGGGAGGAAGAGGTGCGGTGTTTGGCTTTGGCTCTGTCTTTGCGGTGGATGTTCATATGGCCACCAAGAGCTTGTGCGTTGGTGAACCCACGCTTACAAAATGTGCACTCATAAGGCCGTTTTGTGCTATCATTATCCAACTCCTCGTCCTTTTGGTGCTCATATTCGTCGCTCCAACTGTCCCATCTCCCCTGCTTGCCAAAATCCATGCAGACCCCACAGCGCAAAAACAAAAATTTAGAGGGGAAAATTTGTGGGGAGAAGGTGGTGGAAAGTGGAGGCTTTATACAGAGACTAAAAAGTAAAGGCTCATACAAAGACAAACACAAAACATCTGCCATTTTCCATTCTGGCATTTATGGATGTTTCTTAAGCAGCCATATATGGGGATTCACTTTGTCGAACCTCACGACCACATCGAGTTTACGAGAGAGAGAGAGAGAGAGAAACTGTAAAAATAACTCGATATCGATATCGAGCGAGTAAATGTGTGGGAGAGATCATTAAAAAGGTAAGGGAACGTGGGCCAATTTTGGGGCGAAGAGCTGCTGGGTGCAGTAAGGTCACGAGAGATACCACTTCCAAAGAGCAACCCTTGTTTCTCTCATTCATCTTTTACATGTGATTATTATACTCGCAATTAAGGACCATGCCTCTTCTTCATTTTTCCCTACCATACAAACGCCCAATGTTCATCAAACTTTTTCATTGGGTTCGAGTTCGTTTAATTGAATTGAATTCATTTGAGTTGATGCATTTATGGGTGTTTTTCGTTGGGATTTGATGTTTTGGTTCGAGTTCTTAGTCATATGTTGTCAAAGTCATGATTAATAATTGATATACGTCAAACAACTTATTGGTTCAAATTGATGTCCTCGTCTCTGGATCGAAACTATATAACTCTATGTCAATTGAGTTATAAATCGATTTGACTTATTAACTTATTATAAATAACATTATTCTCGTACAAATTAACACGAAGTTAGATTCTAGTGATTATTTAAATTAATAAATAATAGAAAAGAAATTGGAAGGGTGTGGAATTGAATGTAATAAAGAGAAGCTAGGTAAGGTAGGTTGCATGAATGTTTTTAGATAGAGGTGTGGGGCCCTCACAGTGGGACCAGTTTACAACAGGATTTTGACGTCATTCTTTCCAACTTTGCCATCATTTATTAATAATAATTATAAAATATCTCTACCTTACAACGTCCTTATTATTATTTTTATATGGCCCATTGGGCTTCAAAATTATTATGGCCCAAAATAAACACAATCCATTGGGCTTAATTCGAACAAATCTCTGTCGTGTTCAACATTGTTAAACTCGTATGATTCACAGTTTGTAAATATGAAAAAAGTCATTGTAAGGTGTTTGTGAGAAAATAAGTATAATTTAAAGAATAAAAATATAATTATTAAATTACAATTTTGAGGCTTAGTTAAAGAACGAATTAAGAAAATATTACTTAATGACTAAATACACCAAATTAACCTAATACTATGATCTACCGTTTGGCCCAAAATCATTGCAAATTCTCAAACAAAAAGAAAAGTCACGTGAAAGTTTATGCATAAAGTAGATAATATCATACTATTGTGGAAGGTATTGCAAATGAGATTTAGAAGCTTGGGCTAAATGGATACCTTTTGAACAACCATCAACAGCAGGGTCATACTCAAGACACTCACTGACGCAATGACAACGCCAGTATGTTTATAATCCACACTTCCGTACTGATATTTCTGTGCCTTATGTTTGTGAGGGTGTTTTTCCCAGCAATGACATTCTCCTAGAGCTCTTAAGCAAGTTGGGACAAATGCAAAAGGGTAGGGAGGAAAGATGTGAAATGATTTGGGCTCTTTGGAGTTTAAACATTAGGCAATGGACTATATGCGCTAACTGACAGTGATTTGTCCGGAGACTATAATAAACATCCCTTTGAGGAGTATTCGAAGTGATGATGAGATCATATGGCGTGTAGGAATGTTCTTTGTCAAGGGAGCCTATCATTTGTGTTTTGCAGGAACAAAAAGAAAACAATTCTTATCCCTTCGGGGCCCCATGTCCTCGCTGTCACTCATTCCCCTCTCTAATTGATGTGCAATCTCACAATCTACCCTGTTCAAGACCCACAGTCTTCACTGGCCCACCACCCGGTGTCTAACTCTGTTACCATTTGTAACAACCAAAACCCACCTACTTATTCAATATGTTCGTAGGGATGGTTTGAGGACATATGACTATTGGGATTGGATCTCAGATCACGCAAAGGAAGAGGATATACAACAATCATTCATCATAATGTGGTGTACATGGACAGAGGAACCACATTATCTTTCACGGGGAGAAATCAGACACTCAAAAAAGTATTTTCATATTAATTAACAAACATCTAATACACAAGCTCAAATTTCTATGATAGTTTCTCATAAATTACAATGCTTGTTATGGCTACATGGAGAGTTTCAAAGCCATTAAATCAACATGTCGTTTCCTAGCTTCAGTGAAGGAAAACTTTCATCAGTTTTCAAAAATAATCACCCCAGATACAGTTCCAAATCCAACTAAAGCTATATGTCTAAGCCAGAGAAAGTCGCCATCTAAATTGATTGACACATAAACAGTGAAATTTCACGCGGGACATCATAAATGATATATTAAAGGATCAAGAAGGTGTCTTTAACAAAAAGGATCTGTACAAAATGTTAAATCAAATGAGAAAGCAAAAGGGTTACCTCGTACATCAGTGTTTTTCCTTGCACTAACCTCCCCGGCAATTCTCAGACTTTTGCTGTGCAACATACTCCCGTACTTGTGCAGATTTAATTCTCATACCAGAAATTATCTCTTCAGTTGCATCAATGATTTGTTTAGGCAAATGGGTCTCCAAATAATCAAACCACTCCCCAAGTGTCATCTTCTTCAAATCTGGCGCCTTCTCAGCCTTACAAAGAAAGTCCTCATCGTGAGAAGCTCTCCGGTCATCAACCTCTTCGCAATTTACTGAAATAATACGTACATTTTCGCTTTCATCTCGATCACAAACCTCATGAGGGCTAGACCCACTGCATGTTTCGCTTTCATCCGGTGGCTCCTTTTGCAATTTCTTTCTTCCTCTAGTTCCTGCTCTCGTCTTTTTTGCCACAGCCTTTACTTCAGCACCCACACATGAATTCTCGGGAACACTCTCAAGAACTGAATCTGTGGCCACAGACACAATGTTTTTCGTTCCACGGGTACTTCTAGTAATAATCTTCTGGCTGGATTCGTTTCCAATGTCGCTCACATTTTCTGGCGCTCTTCCCACATCTAAATTGCTCTCAATTTTCTTGCAGTCCGGTACTTGGCTAGTAATATCACCTTTCACACCCCTGCCTTTTCTCCCCCTTGGACATCTTCCACTCTCCAACGTCGCGTCATTAGCTCCCATAAGTACGCTGATCTCTTCCACGACCTTTCCTCTTCGACTCCCAATTTCAGCAACTGATCCCACCATATCCGAACCATTACACTTCTCAGCAGCCTTCCGCCTTGGATTTCGCCTCGACTGACACTCTTCATTACTGTTTAATCTAACTAAAATGGAAGTCAACTCACCGAATTTAATGGTGTCGCCATCGTTTAGAACGAAGGCGTATTGTGGAGGAAGCTTGGTGTCGTTAACAAAGGTTCCATTAGAAGAATCGAGGTCCCGAAGCACCCACTTGCCTGCAATAGACTTGGATTCAATAGAGAGGTGCTTGGTGGAGATGCCGGCGTCTTTGATGGCAATGGAGTTGCCTCGAACAAGGCGACCGATTCGAATCGTCGATCCAGGTCGAAAATCTAGGGTTTCGCCCTCGCGAGGGCCTTGAACTATAATGAGACTAATTGCAGAGGGTTCCATGGTGAGATGCCTCCGAATTTCGAAATGTAGCAATTGAATTGAGAGGATCTTGATCCCTTTTTTTTTTTTTTTTTTTTTTTTCTAAGGATAATTCTGGGGAAATGAAAATGCAAATGGGAAAGGCGCGGCTTCCCATTTTGAAGTTCGGCTTCCCTCCAATTCCACTTTCTCTCTCCTCCGCTATTGGGCCAACTAAATGGGCTCTCGGCCCATTTTGAACATCACGTCTAAATGGGCCATAAATAGCCCAGACATTTAGGAAATATACATTTTTGACCTTCTAAGTTTAAAGTTGATGTTATTTATCCCTAAAATTTTGTATATAAGTCTTCGGAGCATTTAAGAATATTTCAAAAGATTCAAAAATTAAAACTAAAAGTTAGTTGACGAGAATATTAATTTAGATTTATTATCTGTCTTATCTCTTCCCCTCCTTCCTTCTGTATTTATTCTCCCGTTTCTTTATTTTTATCTATTCACCCGATATTTTTCATTTATTTATACGAAGATAAAAATAAGTTTGGGATTAAATTCTAGAGAATAATTTTTACTCATTTATTATTCTTTTAAAAAATAGTTAGTCTATAGTTTTTTATTTTTTAATATAATATGTACAAAACAATTGCGAATAAAATAAAAAAAATCAAACCAATATATTTCATTAACTAATATAATTTTAAAAAGTTTAATTTTAATATTAATACTGTTTTTACAAATTAAAAACCAAGCTAATATTTAACCTCAAAATTAACTAATTTATTTTTTTAATATATATAAATGGAGCGACTTGGAAAAAATCTGTGATCTAAAAACACGAAATAAATAATGAACTAATTTCGTCGGACGTAAAGGCATGAAAAATCAATAATGAAGTAATGTGAAGGCCCAAATGAAAACAATATAAGGAAAGCCCAATTGAGCCCAACAAGATAAGGTAAGGCCCATAACGACAAAACCCTAGCAAGAAACACCGTCGTCCAAATAGTAAGTGGAGAAAATAAAATGGCTTTATATTTCCAGTAGGGATCCACGATGGAACCCATTTCCTAGCCTCTGCTCTGGAGTCTGCCCCCTTCACCGACCCTAATATAAATAAATAAATAAATTAGAATAATAATATTCTTTTTATTTTTTATTTTCATTATTTTCCCTTAATTAAAAAACCTACCGGCAACCTATTCCTAAAACACGAATATAAAAAATAACAACAATAATAATAAAACACAAAGATTCGTGTTTTTTCTCGGCATTTTTATTTTTGTTTATTTAAAAAATAATAATTATTATTTTCCAAGACAAAATGGAGTTTATTTTTTAATTTAATTAAATTATGATTTTCCTTTTGGGTTCCGCCTTACCTCTCTCTTTCTATCTCTATTTTTCTTCTCCTTCGACCTTCTTCCTTTTTTCTAGTTCTCTCTCTTTCCGTCTCTGTCTTCCCCCATTTTTCTCTCTCTGTCTCCCTTCAGACACTCTCAGCTTCCATTGCCTCTTCTCCCACCTCTGCCACTCCTCCAAGGTTTGTATGCTCACCTGATCTCCCCGATGTTCTATCGAACATCGTTCATTTCGCTTTTTCTTTTCCTCCCAATTCTTTTCTCCCTTTTGCTGTAGGGTTTTAATTGGATTGGGGGTTTTTCATCCCGATTGCCTTTCTCCGATCATCGCTTATTATAACAATGATTACTTCCCTTTCTTCCCGAGGTTTATGTTTCTCTGATGTTCTCCTATTTTGGAGGTTTTCATGTTTGTTTTCCGTTTCTTTTCTCTAGCTCTTGTCGGCTTGTTTTTCTTCTGGGGTTCGTGTTTAGCTTAATTATTGACTCACCTTCTGAATCTTTCGACTTTAAGAGTGATGGTTTTTTTTGTTGATACCAGGTAGGTTATATTGGGTTTCAACAGCTGTAAGAAGAGGGGTCGGTTTGGTTTCATTTGAAATTAACGAGATTGAATGAAAATGATTTTTGGGCGTTCTGAAAAGACTGATACCTGTATTAACTCTATGTGTTATTTTCCCCTGGTTTTGATTTTGACGTCTCCTGGTGTTTTGCATCATTTAGTTGGAGGAGCAGATTGTGAGCAGAGTTATTTCTCTTGAGAAGAAGATGGCTGGTGCCGTTAGTGATGAGGCTATAGGGATGAGGTCTGTGGAGAGTTTTGCAAATGGGCATCACAGTCAGTCTGGAGAAGCATTGGCTGAATGGAGGTCTTCTGAGCAAGTGGAAAATGGAACGCCATCAACTTCACCGCCATACTGGGACACCGATGATGATGAAGAAGAAGAAGAAGCTGGTATGCTTGTTATTTGTGCTTCCATACTTGTTTTTTCTGTGATTTATATTTGCGGGAGTGCTTTGTCTAGCAATGAGATTCTCCTAGAAGCTCTTAAGTAAGCTGGAACAAGTGCAATGAACAGGGAAAAGTTGTGAAATATTATGGGCTCTTTAGATTTCTCATGATAGAAGCTTGGACAATGAATTCTGACATATCTAATCTGCGTGAGGTGCATCAATTGATGTTTCATATCAGTCATGTACATGGCCAGAACCTTATGATAGCTCATTTCGTTTTAACTTTTGTGATATTTATTTTGTGTATCTTGGTCTCTTATTTCAAATATCTGGGTTGTGGTGTTGATCTCTTTCTCTGATCCCTCTCTCCCTTCTCACGATAGCTGTTCTGGTTTGTATTGTGCTAAAAAAGTTGCCGCTTGGATGATTTAATATATCAGATATCTTCATACTCTGTAAACATTTACTCATATTTCTATCCCATCTTTTTTGTAGGAACAAAACCTTCTGAATTGTATGGAAAACATACATGGAAGATAGAAAAATTTTCTCAACTTAACAAACGAGAACTCAGAAGTAATGCATTTGAGGTTGGGGGCTACAAATGGTATGTGAATTTTCTATCCCTTCTGAAATATTCAACAGTTTGTGGTTTTCTTTTTTGTATGTCGCGTGTATTTTTTACATGGAATTCCAGGCCAATATCTTCGCATCCTTCTACTGACCTGATAACTTTTTTTTTTTTATCCTTTTGATGTCTGAAATTATATTTTACTCTGGGATGTTATATCTTCAATTATTGATTGATTCTCGTTCTTAGTTTCTCATCGTGGTGTTCAATCTGACTTACTTTGGTAGTGGTAGTCAATATCCTACTAGAAAGTTGAGAACTATTTTTGTGTGATATTAATGAGAAAATTTTTGATGCCTTTGTTTCTATATGCACTTTTCTCCACATGACGATGGTTGAGGATTGATCCATTAGTAGTGGCAAAATACCTATGGATTTATGCATGTTTCTTGTATGAACATGCATTTTGGAAATTGGTCACCCACACACCTACCTTTAGTTTTGATAAGCTGTACAATCTTGTTGCAGGTACATTTTAATATATCCTCAGGGCTGTGATCCTTTAGTTTTGATAAGCTGTACAATCTTGTTGCAGGTACATTTTAATATATCCTCAGGGCTGTGATGTCTGCAATCATCTCTCTCTGTTTCTTTGTGTCGCAAATCATGATAAACTCCTTCCAGGTACTGTTCTGTTTGAATTGTATTTATTAAGCACTATCCTTATTTTCAATTTGTTTAATCACCTTCAATATCTTTTCTTTGCTAAACAGGTTGGAGCCATTTTGCACAGTTTACTATAGCAGTGGTGAATAAGGACCCAAAGAAATCAAAATATTCTGGTTAGTTCTGTTACATTGCTTTTCAAGTTTTTGTTGTTACCACTTACCTTAACTAGTGAAATAAAAAAAAAGTTCTGTTACATTGCTTTTCAAGTTTTTGTTGTTACCACTTACCTTAACTAGTGAAATAAAAAAAAAAATATATATATATGTTGTCCAGATACGTTACATCGGTTCTGGAAGAAAGAACATGACTGGGGATGGAAAAAGTTCATGGAGCTTTCTAAAGTATTAGATGGTTTTATTGACTCTGACACTCTCATAATAAAGGCACAAGTTCAAGTGATTAGGTAATTTCTATTATGATTAATAATGATTATTACTCCTAGATCGCTGATATATTCTTGCAAATTCTGTGTGATGTTCTATTTTCCTTGCTTTCTAGCATGTTAAGTATGTTTCCAATGGTAATCAATGACCCTTATGTTTTATCAACGGAACGTCGACAGACTCAGAGTCCATTGCATGTCACACTCAAACTAAAAAAGTTTTAGTTCTTTAAATATTTTTTAGGCTACCTCCTTATTACCAGACAACTGCTATTTTCATTTGTTCAGTTAGTTAAATGAATTCATTCTTATTATTATTTTTAGTTTTGAAAGCTTGAACTGTTTCGTCTTCTAGGCCCCTACCGAGAGAGGAAAAAAAGAGTTCATAGTCTAAGTTGGTCTTTAGTCAAAACCCTATATTGGCCACAGTTTGACTGGGATGTCTAAGTTTTCATTGGGTTTTCTCTTTGGAAATGAAACCTTTGAGTCTTGAGTTCTCAAATATGTTTGAAATTTCATGTGTCTGAATTTTGTCTTGCAGGGAGAGAGCTGACCGGCCTTTTCGTTGCCTTGATTGTCAATATAGGAGAGAACTTGTTAGGGTTTATTTGA